TTGTTTTTGTTTTGTTGTTGAGATGAGACACAAGCGCGCCTTCGCCCCTTGTGCTCACTCTCATCTAGCACCCATCAAAGCCTGACCAGGGAGTCAGTTGATAAGAAAATCTATCTACATTTCTCTTTCCAGAGCTCGCTCGGGCCTACCGATCTCACAGCAGTGTAGACCAACCTCTGTGATAGAGCGGTGACAGCAGTGTAACCTCTGTGGTAGACTACAAAGTCTACGAGCTACAGCAGCACCGCCACCTCCGCTGCTGCAGGACGCCACATTCTGTGATCATACTCACTTTATAGTACGGCTCTTGATACTCTACTCAAGGTACTCTTGCGGTTTAGTACGACTTTTCATACTCTACTAAACATACTCTTTGAGTTTAGTATGGCTTCCTATACTGTAGTATACTATCACTTTAGTATAGCTTCTCATACTCTACTAAAGATACTGTCGCGTTTACTATGGCTGCCCATACTCTACTCAGGCCATAGTACAGCCCGCCATACTCAACTCAGAGTACGTACTACTCAACGTCAGAGTAGGTACTACCTTCCACCAAAGGGTGTGTTGGTGACGTCACTATTCAGCAGAAAGTAGACAGTCTCGCCGCACAGAGTGCTGGTGGGCTCCAGGCTCCGATACTCGCGCGCTCGCGTACTCAGATATGGGGTACTGAGGTAGTGGCCCGCAGGGAAGATAGTGGCAGCTGAGCATGAGTGACGCGCGCGGTGGTTCGGCTGCATCTGCTCCCGATGCGGGTGGTTCTCCCGGTACACCGGGCAAGACGATGACCTCCTGAAAGCAGAGATGGCGCTCAATCCGCTCTCGAACACCACGCCTCCCTCCGAGGATGACATTGGCGTGGGCGATGATGGGTAGTCTTCTTCCTACTGTTGTCTGCTCTGACTGTTTTTTTTTTTGTTTTTTTTTAACTCTCAATCGACTGGGCGGATCGAAGGTGCTCCACGGCGTTGTCGGTCTACTGAATAGTTTTAGTTTTAGTTTTAGTTTTATTTAGTTTAGTGGTGATTGGTAAGAACGGAGAGGGAGGGGGCGACGGAGCATCGAGGGGGGGGGGGGGTAATATGTTTATGTTTATGTTTATCATGCAATCAACGCTTGTAACAACATATTCGCCTGATTGAGAGCGTAGCATCTGATTGAGAGCGAGATTGCGCGATACGCTGTAGCTGGACTACCACTGAGAGGTGGAGCTTGCTGTGTAGCTTGAATTGAAGGGCTAGCCCGTAGCTTCAAGCCGCTACCCTGGTCATCCTGTGGGAGTCTCTCGTTGTGGAGCTACAGCGGGGAGCAGAAGCTACAGCAGAGCCCACCGCCCGACGCGATACCGCCCTGAAACAGTTTGAGCAGAAATAGCCAATCTGGGCAAATCTAGCAACTTGTCTAGCTCCTCGCTGCAGCATCCGATGACGATGACACGCATANTACTTCGCTCTCAATCAGGCGAATATGTTGTTTTGTACGGAGTAGTTGTTCTGTCAGTACTGTCAGTATATGTACTGTACTAAGCGTACTGTGGCGTTTAGTATGGCCCTCCATACTGTACTAAACATACTGTGGCGTTTAGTACAGCTCTTCATACTGTACTAA